GAAAAAAAAAAAAAAAAAAAAAAAGAATTCAGGAGGATGTTCTCTGTTTATTGAAAGCTTACTCCAGGCACTATTCCATGTACTTTCTAGATACTGTTTCATTTACTGTCACCACAACCCTGTGAGTGAGTTGTCATTACTCTCCCCAGGTTACAGATGAGGAAAAGAAAGCACAGAGAAGCTAAGTCATCTTGTCCAAGGCCACACAGCTATTAAATCCTGGCCTGGATTCCAACCCAAGTGGTACCTCTGAGCCCCTGATCAGACACTAAAGATGTATTAAGTGCTCCCAGTCGGGGGTGCGTAGTGGTTCACGCCTATAATCACAGCACTTTGGGAGCCCTAGGTGGGTGGAGTGTTCGAACCAGGAGTTCGAGACCAGCCTGAGCAACATGGTGAAATCCCATTCTCTATAAAAATACAAAAATTAGCCAGGTGTGGGATTACATACCTGTAATCCCAGCTACTCAGGAGGCTGAGGTGAGAGGACCACTCAAGCCTGAGAGGTAGATGTTACCATGAGCCTAGATCATGCCACTGCACTCCAGCCTGAGTGACAGAGTGAGATCCTGCCTCAAAAGAAGAAGGAAGGCAGGCAGGCAGGCAGGCAGGCAGGAGGGATGGAGGGAGGGAAGGAGGGAGGCAGGGGAGGGAAGGGAAGAAGGGAGGGAAGGAAGAAAGGAAGGGAAGGAGGAAAGAAAGAAAGAAAGATTAAAAAGATGCTCCCAGTCTGGCCCAGTTTTGATCCAACGAACAGCTGACAATGGACAGATGGGACAGGGTGACCCTCCTCTGCCAAGATGGAGATCAAGACCCCTCTCTTTCCCCTCCATCAGCAGATCAGTTGAACATGTGGCTAATTGTTAAGAACCACTGAGCCTGGATTTTTCCCCCTCAAACATTTTTCTCTCCTGTACTTAAACACTGATTAGAAAAAAAAAAAAAAAAGCTTTAAATTTACAGACATTTTTTTTAAATGGGGCTTTTAAAAAAAATGGATCAGATGAAACTTCTCCTAATGACAGTTTCCCTGACAAGGTCATTATTAAGGAATAGAAAGACAACTGCTAGATAAAGGAGAAGAATGAGGCCCAATACTCGAGTCACGGGGCATTTATCTACATTTTTAAGTGGCTAACATGTTTATTTCATTGGTATAAGCTTTCCAACAGAACCCTAAAGCGATTATATAGAACACTGGGGCTTCCTAATAGCCTCTAATTTTGCAAGCCATGGTAATTTAAAAGAGAGTGGGTGAAGGGCTAGGAGTAGGAGATTTCAGCTGAAGAATACAAATGCGTTCATGGCTACATTGCTTCTGCCTCTTTCTGGGGAAAAGCAAAATGCACACAGGAATGTGATGGAAACTTCCAGCTGGTGGTTTTGCATTGCAGGAAGAAAAGTGTTTGTGAAAATGAAAACTGCTGATAATTGGGTGTGAACGCCTGGGAGACAAATAGAGAAACATTGCAGAATCTTTCTTTCTATCAAGGGCTGAACCCGGCTGGTGGGCGTGTGAATTGGCACCATCTTTTGGAGGGGAATTTATCTGTGTGCTGACACTTTGACCCAGCAATTCCCCTTCTAGGAATCTACCTTACAGCAATACTTGCATATGCACAAAAAATGTACAAGGATGCTTGTGACAGCATAGTTTGCAGGTGTGAAAACTAGAAATACCCTACATCCATCAACAATTAAATGTTTAAACAGACCGGGAGCAGTAGCTCACGCCTGTAATCCCAGCACTCTGAGGATGCCAAGGCGCCGCAGATCACTTGAAAGTCAGGAGTTCCAGACCAGCCTGGCCAACACAGTGAAACCCTGACTCTGCTAAAAATACAAAAATTAGCTGGGTGTGGTGGCAGACACCCGTAATCCCAGCTACTCAGGAGGCTGTGGCAGGAGAATCGCTTGAACTCAGATGGCAGAGGTTGCAGTGAGCTGAGATCGTGACACTGCACTCCAGCCTGGGTGACAGAGTGAGATTCAGTCTCAAAAAAGAAAAAGAAGGAAAGAAAGACAAAGAAAATATTTAAATAAATTATGGCATTTCTGTATTTTAGAATAATTTGCTACTAACACATGGAATGAGGGAAATCTATATATTCTGACACCGAACATTCATTGTCCCTGATATGCTAAGTGCGAAAAGAGCAAATTGCAAAATAGTATCTATCCTAGGAGTCTACTTAAAATTGTTTTGAATGTTAATATATTCGTAGAAAAATATCTGAAGGAATAAGTGCCAAACATTACCAGTGGCTATTTCTGGGGGATGATGGATGTATTTCATAATGTTTACATTTTTATGAACATGGATTACTTTTGCAAACAGGAAAAAATCCAACAAAGTTGAATTATTTCTCCAAGGAAGGAAGGGAATCAAAAAGGATCCGGCTGGTAATGGGATTTATTCACTGTCTTTGGGTGAGAGGCTTCAGTGTAATTCCATGGTGAGTACAGTCTGATTCCGGCACCCTGGGCAAGGGTGATCTGCAGTGAAAATGAGCAGAAATGGCCCTGCCCACACCAGGGGATGCAGACACACAGCCTCTCTTCACTCCCTTGCCCTGGTCTCCTGCTTAATGTTGTGGCTACTGCTGCTGCTCCTGAACCTTGGCTGGTGCCTGACAGCCAGCTTTCTTCCCATTTCCTTCTCTCACCCTGCAAGCTGCTCTAGAGTGCACTTAAACATCGTGGTAAAGACCTTGGCCTTTAGAGGCAGGTAGCTCTGGGTTCAAACCTAGACTTCACCACTTTCCTGTGCGACTTTGGAACATTTACTGCTCTTTTTACCACCTCTGTTTCCTCATATGAAAAACATCATAATCTAGAGAACCTGCCTCATAGGGTTTTTGGAGTGATGAAAAGAAATAAGTATAAAAAGCCTGGGCACAGTGGCTCACGCCTGTAATCCCAGCACTTTGGGAGGCTGAGGTGGGCAAATCACAAATCACCTGGGGTCAGGAGTTTGAGACCAGCCTGGCCAACATAATGAAACACTGTCTCTACTGAAAATACAACAATTAGCCAGGCATGCTTGCTTGAATCCAGGAGATGAAGGTCACAGTGAGCTGAGATTGTGGCACTGCACTCCAGCCTGGGCAACAAAGCAAGACTCTGTCTCAAAAAAAAAGGATAAAAAGTGCCTGGGAGTAGTAAGTGCTTAATAAATGACACTATTATTACTGTTGTTGTTGTCACTGAGTCCTATCAATTCTTTCTTGGTAGAATCTTTCCCATCTATTTTCCACCTGATAAACTCCTACTCAGCTTCCAGGCCTGGCTCAAAATGCCATCACTGTGAAATCTCCTCTGGTCCCTTTCCTGAACACCCAGAATTGACCGACGTTCCCATTGGAGGGACAGGACATTCCTGCACTGTGCTGGGTGCCCGGCTGCATTACCCAAATTCTATTCTGATTTGCAGGTCTATCTCCTCTCCTCTAGAGACCCCGAGTTCCTGCAAGGCAGCAGGCAGTTCAGATCTCTTTATCTCAGTGCAGACCCAGAGTGTGAGTGCAAGTAATCATTTTTTCCAATTGAATTAATCCCATCCCTGCTTCTAAGACCTTGGCCTGGCCGTTTCCAGTTCACAAGGGAACTATGATAAAAACTGTCTAATTGGTCTCCCCAGTTCAGGATAACATGTGAATCACGTAAGTCCCTGCTCAAAACCTTTCAAGGACAGGGCAGAATTTTCAAAAAAAAATCCCAGAGGTGGAGCCAGAGCTCGGTTTAGCTCTAGTTTTGCCGCAGACTGATATGATCTTAAGCACCTGGCTTTACCGATCTAAGCCTTAGGCTGGCTGTCTGTGAAACCAAGGTCCTTCTGCCACAGAGCACTAGAGGGGACCCAATGAGAAGTGCATGTGAAAATGTGTCAACATGACCTAAATGTTAGCTATTGTTTTTGAGAGGTAGTGTATGTTGGGAAGGAAGGAGAGAGTAGCTGAACGTTTCTGTCCTGAAAGTCGAACCACCTCCTGAATCACCGGTAATCTTCAGCAAGTTTCTCTAGATACAGACAAAAAAAGACGAGAGCTCTAAGATTTTTCCACTCCTAGGGTCCCGTTTCCTCCAGAAACTGTATGAAGCACCCTTTGTGAGACCAATCCCCAAGGCCAGGGGGCGAAAACTCTTATCCACCCTTGAAATTAAATGCAACTATCGGAGAACGTCTGTGTAGTCCTTTACCACGCACTCCTATATCCACGCTTGTATTTGAAAAGGGCTTTAACGTGAAGAAGTCTCGGTCAGATCTTGACGGTGCTATCACCCCATGGTGGGATTGTGCATCATTTTAATTTTGTGTTTTTCTAAATCTTCAAAATCTGCAAATTTGGAACTAGAGAGATGATGGTCGCACAATATTGTGAAGGTACTAGATGCTACTATACCGTCCATTTCAGAACGTTAGTTCTATATTATGTAAGTGTCCCCTCATTTAAAAACGTTAGTTCTATATTATGTGAGTGTCGCCTCATCTAAAAACGTTCTATATTATGTGAGTGTCGCCTCATTTAAAAACCTTCAATACGCTCACGATTTTATAGTCATTCCTTAAACTGTGATTTGAAGAGAGAAGTACAGAGATCAAGGCTCAGGGGCCGCGGGGTCGGGTGATGCTCGGCTCCGCGCATTTGTCCAAGTCGTAACGAAAGCCGCCAACCTGCAGTGCACTCCTCCGACCACGAGGGGTCAATGCAAAGCTCTCGCGTTCCCTACATTAAGGCGAACACCGCCTCTTACGTCTTGGAAGCGCGTGTGCGTGGGGCGTAGCTAAGGACGGAAGCTCGGCCGGCACGATCGCCACCCACCTCAGCCTAACCGGGCAGCGCCTTCCGGGCTCTGCTCTTCGTGACCCAGCGCCCCAGTTCTTGCCCGTCCTTGCAGTCCCACCCCACACTCAGCCTTGTGTTCCTCGAGCCGGTCTCCGACTTCCATTTCCCACCCTAAACCGCCTGCTGGGTCTGTTCCCGCTCGGTTGTCCTCGCCCTGCTGTGCCGAGGGTCCCGTCAGCCTCGACCCCATGGCGCTGCAGGCGCTGCAGAGCTCGGGGGTGACCTTCCGCAGGATCCTGTCTCACTTCCCCGAGGAGCTGAGTCTGGCTTTCGCCTACGGCTCTGGGGTGTACCGCCAGGCAGGGCCCAATTCAGACCAGAAGGTGAGCCCAATCCCGCAGCCCGGCCCCTCCCCGGACAGCCGCCGTCAGCCCCTGACAGCCCCACAACGGGGAGCTGACCGTTCTCACGAGTCCCATTTTGCCCTCGATTCCTTCAGAGCTGGAGAGCTGCCTGTCCGCTCTGCACACTCCACATGTCAACTAGCAGAGTGAACCTTAGGCCTGCGTTCCTAATAACGAGGGCGCGAGTTGAAGGCAGTTATGAGGGATACTTAGGAATCCACGTGGGTCTAGAGCAGGAGAAACAATTAGGCAGGGGGAAAAGCCGCTGCAGGGGCAAGTGGAAGAAAAGAAAAAATCGTTATCACTTTCTAGTTCGGTGTTTTCAGTCGGCTGGACATCGGAATTTTCTGGGGAACTTTTCGGAAAATCCTAATGCTCGGGCTCCGTCGATGGAGATTCTGATTTAATTGGTTTGGAATGAGGCCTGGGCTTCAGGAATTTAAGAAACGTCCTAAGTGATTCTAATGAGCAGCCAAGTTTGTTGAGAGTCACCTCTATAACTGTGGGAGAAAATGCAAAATGATTTGACTTCAGAAAGTTGCGGACTGGTTGTAGGGCCAGGGCAGGTACAGTGAAAGTAACTAACAGCAAAAGTTAGTGCGTGACCAGTATATTTACCGTCGCTCAGCACATTTAACAAGGGTCTGTTTGAGACTAGGCATTGTTACTCTTCAGAGTTAGGTCAGTGCAGCCTCAGTAAGCGTACAGTTTTCTTTGTTATTTGCAGAATTCAGTGTGCAGGTTTTAATTGGGACCCCCGCATCTGCATACTTGGCTGTAGTCTGTCTTATGATTAACATTCTGCCTGTTCATTTCCTGGTGAGGCCATCTATGCTGTTGCTTGGATTTCCTCTGTTTCCCACTTACGCTACTATTTAATATTTTTATTTAAACTGGCAGCATATGTGAAATTATAGGTTATTATAGACTACTTTTTTTCCAATATACCTTAACATAATTACACATTTTTTAAAAATATGTTGATCCCATACCCCCCTTGCCACCAAATCTTAAGTGTCCCAGTGGTCTGTGAGTCACCCGGTGGGAAACACAGAGCAGGCCTTAGCCTCCTGATGGCCACCTCTTCATTCTTCCATGGAAGTTTTCCTTTGAGTAGACCTGGAATTCCCTGCAAGAAAAGGTCCTTCCTTCCCTTTCCCTCACTTTCGATTCCCTACATTCAAGTGAACAAGTCTTGTAGATTCCAACGCCTAAATCTCTCTCACATCAATCCTCACCCTTAGTGCCTTAGCTAATATAACTTCATTTCTCACCTTGAATCCTGCCATGGCTTCAGATCTAGTTTTCCCCACCCCCTTAGTCTCTCTCCAGTCAGCTCTTCTGCAGGAAAATTTTCTAGCATGGCAAACAGCTTCCCTTTCTGATCTCATCTCCCACGGCATAAATGTGATCTATTTCAGTCGTATCAAACTGCAGCTTCCAGAACATGCTGGCTCCCATATCCACAGAGCGCTTTCCTCCAACATGACTCCCTACCCTTCCTTCCTTGTGCCTCCCCCAGTGCTTCCAGCAAGCCTGTTTAGCCCACATGTCCTTCAAGACTCAGATATGTCATCTCTAGGAGAATGTCTCCCTCCTGTGCTCCTGATTTGATCCCCATTCTGAGTGCAGTTAGTACATTTTACATTCCTCTATCAAGTCAATTTAGTGATAATTTGTTTATTCTCTCCAGTAGACTCCAAGCTCTTTTCTTCTACCCTATGGCCTGTCAGAGCTTATTATAAGTAACCAATGAGTGGTTGGTGAATCAGTAAGAGATAAAATGACCTCCTTCCTTTTGTATAATATTTCAGAGTTTATCCAAATGGTGTTAATTTGATCTGGAAAAAAAGGGGAGTACATTTAGTTGTATTTGTGGAAGGCAGTGTAGTGCAGTGGTTCAGCACACACAATTTAGAGCCAGACTACTCAGGTCTGCCACTCACAAGCTGTGTGTCCTTGGGGAAAGAGCATCCCCTGTGCCTTGGTTTCCTATAAAATTGAAATAATAAGGCCAGATGTGGTGGCTTATGCCAGTAATCCCAGCACTTTGGGAGACTGAGATGGGCGGATCATGAGGTCAGGAGTTCAAGACCAGCCTGACCAATATGGTGAAACCCTGACTCTACTAAAAATACAAAAATTAGCCAGGCATGGTGGCGTGCACCTGTAATCCCAGCTACTCAGGAGACTGAGGCAGGAGAATCACTTGAATCCAGGAGGTAGAGGTTGCAGTGGGCCGAGATCGTGCCGTTGCACTCCAGCATGGGTGACAGAGGGGAACTCTGTTTAAAAAAAAAAAAAAGGAGATAATAGCAGCAGTAGCTACCTTGTAGGGTTTTGTTGAGGATAAAATGAGTTACTACATATATTATCCATAAAGCGTTTAAAGAATGCTGGCCCAACAATACATGTTAAAGAAGTCTTTATTATTATTGCATTGATGAAAACAAAGCTCAGATTAGTTCCAGAGACTCACTTACTTTTCTGATGACAGCACCAGGCCCTCTGACTATTGATCATAATTCCATAGTGTGTTAGAACTTTCCATGCTGTCTCACTGTCTTTCTAGGAATTAATACTGAAATTGTTCTCTTTTCTTCACAGAACGCTATGCTGGACTTCGTGTTCACAGTAGATGATCCTGTTGCATGGCATTCAAAGAACCTGAAGAAAAATTGGAACCACTATTCTTTCCTAAAAGTTTTAGGACCCAAGATTATCACATCCATCCAGAATAACTATGGCGCTGGAGTGTACTACAATTCATTGATCATGTGTGATGGTAGGGTAAGTGACTGCTGGCCTTTGCCTTAACTTAGCTGGTTATTAACCTGGATTATTAGAATGCCAGCTAAATATGTATGCTCTTATAGTCAGGAAACATTCACACTCCTGCTGGACATCTAGGTACAGAGCAGTGACTGGAGTCCTTCCTCATCTCTCATTAACTGTGATTGCAGTGTGAGGAGGTGGTTGGGTGTGACTGACTTTATTTATTTTTTGAGATGGAGCTTCGTTCTTCTCGCCCAGGCTGGAGTGCAGAGGAGGTGGTTGGGTGTGACTGACTTTATTTATTTTTTGAGATGGAGCTTCGTTCTTCTCGCCCAGGCTGGAGTGCAGTGGCGCGATTTCTGCTTACTGCAACCTCTGCCTTGTGGGTTCAAGTGATTTCTCCTGCCTCCCAGTTAGCTGGGATTACAGGGGTGTGCCACCATGCCCAGCTAATTTTTGTGTTTTCAGTAGAGATAGGGTTTCACCATGTTGGCCAGGCTGGTCTCGAACTTCTGACCTCAGGTGACCCACCCGCCTTGGCCTCCCAAAGTGCTGGGATTATAGGTGTGAGCCACTGAGCCTGGCCAGACTAACTTCATTTTTTTTTGTCTTTGGCCAGGTGGTTCTCAAGTATAATGTGCATCAGAATCCCCTAGAGTGTGCGCCTGTTGGACACAGAGATTGCTGGGCCCCACCCCCAGAGTTCTGATCACTAGGTCTGGGGTGGAGCATGAAGATTTGCATCTCTTCACAAGCTTCCAAACAGTGTTGAATCTGCTGGTCTAGAACTACTAGTCTGGTCAGTGGGAGGAATAGGCAGGCCAATTTAGGGTCAGGTTGGAGATTGATTTTATCTAGAAGGAGGGGCAGACACCCCCAGGAAGAAGTTGGAAGTGAAGAGGATATCACAGGTGATTAGAAGCATGTGGTGCCAGGTGATAGACAGGAACCTCCTGGTGCCAGCAGATGGGTGGAATTTGACAGTGGGGTGTTGGAGAGCAGGTAAGTTGCATGGATTCCTGCTTATGGTCATTTGACAGCAGAAACTTTGCTGAACTCTTAATGGCTGAGGCATCTCAGTCTCTAAGAGAGCTGTCAAGAGTTCAGCACAACCCCAGCCTGCCAGGACCAGTAGGGGTCTAAATCAGATGCTTCCTAGAGCTTCCCTGGGCCAGGGATGACATATGGATTCCACTTGCTGTGCCAGCTCTGCCACTGATTGCTCAGAGCAGTCAAACTTTGACAGGCATCGAACCACCTGGGGATTCCATTAAATGCAGATCCTGACTCAGTCTGGGATGGAACCTGAGAGTCTGCTTTTTTTTTTTTTTTTCGAAAGAGAGTCTGGCTGTGTCACCCAGCTGGAATGCAGTGGTGTCATCTTGGCTCACTGCAGCCTCTGCCTCCTGAGCTCAAGCCGTCCTCCCACCTCAGCCTTCCGAGTAGCTAGGACTACAGGTATGTGCCACTATGCCTGGTTAGTGTTTGTATTTTTTTGTAGAGACAGGGTTTTGCCATGTTGCCCAGGCTGGTTTCAAAACTCCTTACCCCAAACAATCCACCCACTTTGGCCTCCCAAAGTACTGGGATTACAGTATGAGCTGCCATGCCCAGCCAAGATTCTGCATTTTTTATAAGTTCCCAGGTGATGCCGATGCCACTGGTTAAAGGACCATGCTTTAAAGGGCAGGAGGTTGGAGTACTGACTTGAGAAGGATTTGAAGGTCTGTCTGAACTTGGCTGAGAAGTGACTGTTGTGATTGACTGGTGATATCTGCATACCTCTTGGCCCATGTATTTGCTTTTCTGGTTGAGGTCCAACCTTGCTCCGCTGCATTTTGCAGTTGAGGAAACTGAAGTTCAAAGAGAGAAATGACTTCCATAAGGTCGCACAGCTAGTTAGCGACAGGTCGCCTGACTTCCAGGCTTGTGGTGTTTCCGTTACTTCCCAGTAACTTGCTAGAAGGGCTTTTTGGGGTGCTGCTGCTGGAGTTGGGGAAAAAAGGCTGACACTCAGCACAGCCTTCTACATCCACTTGAGTCATGCAGAACACTTAGCTTTGTTGTTTCTCCACAGTTAATATGATGTGGAGCCTATCTCTAATTAGTAATTTTCAAGCAATATTATAAGTTATAGTAACCAGATGTTTGGGCATAATTATATGCCAAAATACTATACTTTTTAATTGACTTTTTTTTTTTTTTTTTTTATTTTTTAAGACAGAGTCTTGCTCTGTCGCCAGGCTGGAGTGCAGTGGCACGATCTCAGCTCACGGCAACCTCCAGCTCACGGCACCTCCAACTCCCTGGTTCAAGTGATTCTCTTGCCCCAGCCTCCTGAGTAGCTGGGATTACAGGCATGCAGCACTATGTCCAGCTAATTTTTGTATTTTTAGTAGGGACAGGGTTTCACCATGTTGGCCAGGATGGTCTCGATCTCCTGACCCCGAGATCTGCCCGCCTTGGCCTCCCAAAGTACTGGGATTACAGGCGTGAGCCACTGCGCCCAGTCTAATTGACACTTTAGCTGCTTTTTGTATATTTGCAGCCTGAGAAAGCTATTTGGATACTGAAGTTCAGCAAAGTGGGTCTAAAGATACTTGTTTATGCAAATGGGACTTTGTAACCTGGGAAATCTACATTCAGGATTTATACAAATTATTATTGAAATAGGCTTAACTGGCCAGGCACAGCAGCTCATGCCTATAATCCTAGCACTTTGGGAGGCCAGGGTGGGTGGATCACTTGAGCCCAGGAGTTCAAGACCAGCCTGGGCAATAAGGTGAAACTCTGTCTCTACAAAAAATACAAAAATTAACCAGGCATGATGGTGCGTGCTTGTAGTTCCAGCTACTCCACAGATTGAGGTGGGAGGATCACTGGAGCCCAGGGAGTTCAGGGCTGCATTGAGCCAAAATCATGCCGCTGCACTCCCGCGTGGGCGATAGAGTAAGACTCTGTCTCAAAAACAAACAAAAAAAAGAATAGAAATGGGCTCAACTATAATTTCATGTGTTTAGCGTGAATAAAGAAGTTTTGGTTTTGGATGTTGCTTTGTAATTATAAAAGTGTTTGAAATAGTCGGTAGCAAAAGAGAAATTCACTATGTAAAAGGATGTCAGTGAAAACTTTTAATTAAAGGAAAATTTCTTGTACTTTGTAACGAAAAGAGCATTGGAAGACCAGACTGAAATTCTGGGACCTAGTTTTAACTCTGTTACTGCTGGTACCACCTTGAACATGTCATTTGTTCTCTCTGGGCTTCAGGTTTTCTATTTCTGAAATGACGAACATGAACTACATCATCACTTCTCAAACTGTCTTTGGGGAGAAACCAGGTTTTTTTACTCCCAATCCATTGAGGACCAGTACTAGATAGCATCTAAGAGCCATTCCATCTTTAACATAACATGGACCTAAGTTGAAATAGTGGTCACCTTATAATTGCCTGATGGGTTCTTCCTGCGGTTGACTGGCACTACTGTAATATTGCAGTAAAGAGTTTAATTAGGCCGGGCACGGTGGCTTATGCCTGTAATCCCAGAACTTTGGGAGGCCAAGGAGGGTGGATCACCTGAGGTCGGGAGTTCGACCTGGCCAACATGACAAAACCTTGTCTCTACTAAAAATATAAAAATTAGCTGTGCATGTTGGTGCACACCTGTAATCTCAGCTACTTGGAGGCTGAGGTGCAAGAATGGCTTGAACCCAGGAGGCAGAGGTTGCAGTGAACTGAGATTGCGCCACTGCACTCCAGCCTGGGTGACAGAGTAAGAAAAAAAAAAAAGAGTTAAATTAACATTAATGTGAGGCCAGCCACACAGGAGAACTGGCATTGTTACTCAAATCATTCTTCCTGAAAGCTCGAAAGTTAGGGTTTTTGAAGAATAGTTTGGTGTAGGGGACTAGGGAATAGGTGCTGCTGATTGGTTGGGGATGCAATCATGCAGGTGTGGAAAACAGTCCTCATGGGCCGAGTGGGCCTTTTGGTGGCAGAAGGGCAACAGAACCAATTGAGTCATGAGTCATGGGTCTGGGTGGGATCAGTTGGTTGTCAGAATGCAAAAGTCTGAAAAATACCTCAAAAGACGAATCTTAAGTTCTACAGTAGTGATGTTATCTATAGGATCAGTTGGGGAAGTCACAAGTCTTACGAACTCCGGACACCTGACTCCTGAGCAGTAAGAGATCATAGAAACTATGCCAACATTTTTGCAGAATTCAGACCTTTCTCATAGTCCTAATCTTGTGGACTTTCATTAGTTTTACAAAGGTAACTTCAGCTCTGGACTGGAGAGGGGAACAGTTTTAGGGAGGAACGATTATCATCCTTGCTTCAAAATTAAACTATAAACTATGTTCCTCCCTTGGTTAGCTTGGCCTATGCCCAGGCATGAGCTTGGATAGCCAGCCTGTGAGGCTGGCAGCAAGATGGAGTCAGCCATACGAGACTTCTCTCACTGTTATAATCTTCTGAATGCAGTTGCAACCTCACCTCACATACCTTAGAGACTAAGTCAGTCTTGGACACTAAAACCTCTCAAAGGTTTTGGTGGAGATGTATGTTTTCGCAAAGCAGGCATTTTGAGTGGCTTTGTAACCAAGGTACTGCTCTAGTCAAAAATGTTATGTTTCCTTATATTTCTACTTGTATAAGCCAAAACAGGGTATTTTACTCCTTTTTGTGCCCATTTCTTTTTTCCTTCAGCTTATCAAATATGGAGTTATTAGCACCAGTATTCTGATTGAAGATCTCCTCAACTGGAATAATTTATACATTGCTGGACGACTCCAAAAACCGGTGAGTGTTTTAAGGCTGCACAGTTCAGGCTGCCTTTCCTCTCTCAGCCTAACCTTACTTTGATCATTGTGATTGCAATGAGATGGAACTGTGGAAATAGAAACGAGTTTCTGACTCTTTCTACTTCCTATAAAATTTATTGCCAAGTAATATCCACATATTCTCTTGTGATATGATATAAGAAGAAATGTGTTTGGTTTTTCTCCTTGGGCTCCTAGTTCAGAGGTCCTAAAACTCTTGGAATATTTCAGTGATGGGGATGAGAGTGTCTTTTATTATTGGTAACAAGTCCCTTTAAACTGTACCTGAGTTTATAGTAATAAAGTGACTCTTGATGGGCCCCTAGATAGATTCAGGATAGGGCTGGCTGCCAGGGAGCCAGCCATGTGAGGAGAGGCTGGAGCTTTCAGGCCCCCACTCCCACCTTGATGGAGGGGAGAAAGGCTGGAGATTGGGCCAATCACCAATGGCCAATGATTTAATTAGTCATGCATAGGCAGTGGAACCTCCATTTAAAAAAACCTGTAAACAAAGGGGTACTGAGGACTTCTCGGTTGGTGAGAACATCATGGTGCTCGGAGGGTGGTGTGCCCAGAGAAGTAGTGGAGCTCCACACCCTTCCACAGCCCCGTATCTTGCCAAGCATCTCTTCCATTTGGCAGTTCCTGAGTTGTGTCCTTTGTAATAACCAGGTACATGCAAGTAAAGTGCCTCCTCGGCTGGGCACAGTGGTCCACTCCTGTAATCCCAGCACTTTGGGAGGCCGAGGTGGGCGGATCATTTGAGGTCAAGAGTTCAAGACCAGCCTGGCCAACATGATGAAACCCTGTCTTTACTAAAAATACAAAAACGTTAGCTGGGTGTGATGGCACATACCTGCAATCCCAGCTATAGCTGCTGGGGAAGCTGAGGCAGGAGAATAACATGAACCTGGGAGGCGGAAGTTGCAGTGAGCCGAGATCACGCCACTGCACTCCAGCCTGGGTGACAGAGTGAAACTCCAACAGCAACAAAAGGTGCCTTCCTGAGTTCTGTGAGCCATTCTAGCAAATTATGAAACCAGAGGAAAGGGGAATTAGCCCCACCCCTTTATAGTGAATGGTTAGAGTATGGGAGACCTGGACTTGTGATTGGCGTCTGAAGTGGGGAAGCCTTGTAAAACTGAGCCCATAACCTGTGGGATCTGACTGTAACTCCAGGTAGCTAGGGTCAGAATTGAATTTGGTTGTACAACACTCATTTAGTGTTTGGAAGGCTAGAGAATTGGTTGGCTGACACCCACATTTGGTGTCAGAAGTGCTGGGAGTAGAAGCCGAGTTGCAGTCCACCTTCCCTCCTGCTGTCCTCTCCCTCAAGATTCTCCAGTGACTGGATTGGGTGGCTGGGAACGTGCCCAGTGCCTCAGTGGAGCCTCTCTCAGCACTACCCAGTCACCTTGTCTCCTAGGACATGTACCCTGGGGCGACTGATGCATCCCAAGGGCAGTGCCTGGCTGGTGGGATCCTTCAGTAACTGCTGAGTAAATGAATGCACCAAAGTAGTCAATCCAAAGGGCTGGTATTCCCCATCCCTTTTATTCTCTTTCTGAGGCCAGTGGTGATGCCTTCTCTACTTTCTTAGCTCATTTGGGACACAGCTAGAGGAGGCTGTAGGGACTAGGCCTTTCCCTGGCTTTAGTAGAAACAGGAAGCAAACACAAAACAGGGAAAAAAAAAAGTGGGAGAGAACTTTTAACAAGTATTTGCAATATCAGCTTTCTTCTTTTTTTTTCTGTGTTCTGAGAAAGAGTCTTTTCATAGTTTCAGAAGTATGTTAAATAGTCACAGTTGCTAATCTCATACTTCCTACTATAAGGAAGATTTTCATTGTGCGTCAGAGGACCCCGGGCTCCACAAGAGGGCGACAGATTGTTCTTGAGTGTCTCCCCCAATAGTGAATTGCAGCTTCTCCTTCTGTAGCTATCTATGGGGAAAATGAGAGATTTCTATAGCCTTAGCTCACTGATTTCTATTATAAACATCTCTTTACTGATGTGCATGGGCTGTCAGGATCCTCCTGCCTTTCACCTGAGCTTACAGTTTCATAGTGTAGCTCCTTAAAATGTCCAGAAATACTTGATCCGGGCAGGGTTTATGTAAGTACAGTATATGCGTGTACAAATTTATCAAACTGTGTCCTTAAGATGTGTGCACTTCACTGTCACTAACTTTTACTTAATTAAAAACATTTTTAAAAGTCTAGAAATGATAGGCTTACTGAGATTTCATATCTATATAGATAAATTTCTCACTTCTAAGTTGGATATTAGATGACTAGTAAAGCTCATAATTAAGCAATTGGAAATTTGTAAATATTTTATTTCCAGAGTTTTTGTTGTTATTGTTTGTTTGCTTGTTTTACAAAATATGGGCCAGGCACAGTGGCTTATGCCTGTAATTCCAGCACTTTGGGAGGCTGAGGCAGGTAGATCACTTGAGGTCAGGAGTTCAAGACCAGTTTGGCCATCATGGTGAAACTCCATGTCTACCAAAAATTCAAAAATTAGCCAGGGAGGGTGGTGCACACTGGTAATCCCAGCTACTTCGGAGGCTGAGGCAGGAGAACCACTTGAACCCGGGAAACAAAGGTTGCAGACAGCGGAGATCATGCCACTGCACTCCAGCCTGGGTGACAAAACAAGACTGTGTCTGAAAACAAACAAACAAACAAAAACAAAGTATGTAGCTTGATGAGAAGAATAATGGGCATCAAATTAGAAGCCTTGGGTCATATTCAGTCCTGCCACCTACTAGTTGTTACATAAACTTGGGCATCTTGCTTTATCTTTCTGAATTTCAGTTAATTTATCTGTAGAATAAAGGTCCACAAAGGTATTTAAAGTTGGAAGCAGAGCTGGGTGCAATGGCTCATGTCTGTAATCCCAGCACTGTGGGAGGCTGAGGCAGACAGATCACTTGAGGCCAGGAGTTTGAGAACAGCCTGGACAACATGGCAAAACCCCATCTCTACTAAAAATGTAATAATAAGCTGGGCATTGTAGCATGCACCTGTAATCCCAACTACTTGGGAGGCTGAGGCACGAGAATCACTAGAACCTGGGAGGCAGAGGTTGCAGTAAGCCAAGCTCATGCCACTGCACTTTGCACTCCAGCCTAGGTGACAAAGCGAGACTCTGTCTCAAAAAAAAAAAAAAGGAGGAAGAATATTCGAAGCAGAGTAGGGACTCGGCCTTTCCCTGGGCTTTAGTAGAAACAGGAAACAAACACAAACACTTGCTAGGAAAAGCGCAAATGTTTTGATATCCCTGATAGACACTCAGGAAATGGTCTTTCCCTTCTCTCTGTGCCTTTGCTTATCTCAGTTATTTTGAAATAGAAATGAAATTGAATGTTAAAATGTTGTATTATTCTTTGTATTATACTTTATGCTTAGAATATTTAAAAAAAATTTTTAAGGCTTTAAGAACTTGAAATGCCATGATATCTCAGAATATAAGCACTGGAAATGACCTCAGGTTTTATCTAACTGTTATATTCTTATAAAACAAAAACAGCAAGACAAGTAGTAGCAGCCATGGTCATATCATGCAAAACTCTACATTTCTCAGCTGACTTGGAGAAGAAAATGTTACTGACAGCAATGAGTATCCCTAAGGCTTTTTATGCTTCTAGCACAAGAAAATTAGGGTATCATAAAATCATTTGAATGTGTTGAACATATACATTTTTTTAAATTGAAAATGATAAACAGGCAAATTAACTCTCTCGTCCCCCCTGCTCCCGATTTTCCACATGTGGAAATCACTGTTAAGCAGAAAAATGATTTTTAAACAAACTATTTGTACCTCTAGGTGGCAGCAAATATTAATCAGACTTGAACAAATCTAATGAAAGGGGTAGTATTTTGGATGATAAAGTTGGGTAAATACCTTAAGAAAGAATTATCAGAATATGAGTATGAATTTTTTATATTTATGTGTTTTAAAAGGAGTCACATTAAATTATGTTGTCTAAAGCTCCGGAATTCTCTTGTATCTTACAAATCGAAATAGAATTTCTCAGTCATTAGCAACTTAAGTCTAATATTTTCCCAAGTAAGAAACCATGGAATTTAAAGTGCTTAATATGGCATTGTGACCAATCTTTTTTTTAAGCCAAGAAACCTCTAAAGTAATAATTAATAGTTATTTCCCTAGTTAATGTAATTTTGGATTTTTGTATTTTACATTGTTTTTAGTGTATAGATAATTGTGCTTGAGTTTTTAAGGCATTTATATTGACATGCAGTGGTTTTTTTGCCACCTTGTTAAGAGGATTTTGATTTATTTTAATGCATTCATTGTAATATATTTTGCCTTTTAGTAATGTAGCTTTATTTTATTTTATCTTTATTTCTAAAACAGGGTGTTGCTTTGCCACCCAGGCCAAAGTGGAGTAGCATGAACATGGTTTACAGGAGCCTCAATCTCCCGGTCTCAGGCAATCCTCCCATCTCAGCCTCCTGAGTAGCTGGAACTATAGGCACGTGCCACCATGCCCAGCTAATGTTTATATTTTTTTGTGAAGATGGGGTTTTGCTGTGTTGCCCAGTCTTGAATTTGTAGGCTGAAGGGATCCACCTGCCTCAACCTCGGACTGAAGAGATCCACCTGCCTCAGCCTCTCAAAGTGCTAGGATTGCAAGCATGAGACCCCTTGTGTGGCCTATTTTTTAGTAATAACTTTATTGAAATAAAATTCACCTACCGAACAGTTCAACCATTTAAAGCGTACAATTCAATGGTTTTTACTATATTCACATAGTTCAACCATAACCATATTGTAGCTTTATTAATTTTTTGTGTGAATAGAAAAACCCCCAGTGGTATAAAAGATCCCTGAGCTAGGAGTTGAAAAACCTGGTTTACTAGTTTTGCCTCTGCCCTACTATAAGCAAATGTTTGGGCCGCTAGTGTTTGAAATCCACAGATTGAGTCATTTATTTCTTTATTCAAAAGGCAACTGTTTCTTCTCTGTGTATGCCAAAGGAATTTTTAAAAAGGACAAGCTCTTGCTTGTCCTCGAAGAGCCCAGAGTCCAACAGGTAGATAATAAGTAAGGTTTCATCCAGCTCTAGTGTTCAGTGTTTCTTCTTCATCCTTAAGCATTGACTATTTAGAAGAGTTTAACCTCCTGGTCATTTGGAATGGAAAAGTTCTGGTAGGTGGTTGAGTATTTGAATACTAGATAGGGCTGTGGTCTTTGTGATTAAAATTTCACTCTTTGCAATTCAAGTAGTCTCTCCTTGTGACAATTTTAGAGGAGCCCACATGTGACTTTCTCTTTTTTCCTCTCTTAAAATATACTCACAAATCTCTCCTTTGAAAGTCTCTTTAAGCAATACCCCTTTCTCTCCAGTAAAGATTTTCCTCCCTGGCAGTCGTGCTAATGTTATCTATGCAGTTCAGGTCGGGGCATTCCCAGTAAGATACAAACAGCTATTCACAAATCTGAGCACTTTCTTTTTTTCCCAGGCCTCTCTGGCAGTCTCCCAAGAGTTCACTGGCTTTTCACTCTGAACAACAAATAACAGTACTGCTGAGACAAGTTCATAGTTCACCTTTCGTTGAAGAACCAGATCAGCACAGTAGCAGACTCTTCTGAATTGACATTTTTCCTTTGAGTAAGGATGCTTTTATTTTTACTTTCTTAACCTTAAGTAGCAAACAGACCGCCTTCTTACAACCTAAGTGAAACAACCTCCTTGGAGAACAAGTGGTATTTTGTTAACCAGGAAAATTTCCCCAAAGTTAGTCTTTTCTTTGCATAGGTGAAGAATTATTGAGAAGGATGTGATGAATGGGGATGAAGAACAGGAATGTGGAAGTAGAGAGGCATCACAGAGTTGTGGAAAGAGCACTGGATGAATCCTGGTACTGGATCCTCACCCAGTTTGCCACTACTTCTCTTGGAGAAATCTTTTAACCCCACCAGGCCTAAGTTTTCTGTCAGTAAAATGAGGCAGTTGCCCTCCTAGATTAATAATTCAGTATGGAATACAGTCATCCCTTGGTGTCCATGGGGATTAGTTTCAGTACCCAACTCTGATATAAAATGGCCTAGTATTAGCATATAACCTATGCATATCCTCCTTCATATTTTAGCATCTCTAGATGACTGGTAATACCTAATACAGGGCTTACAAATCACATCGTTCACCTGCCTTCAATGTACTTGACACATGGTGGCAAATTCAACTTTTGCTTTTTGGAACTTTGTGGATTTTTTTTTTCCTGAATGTTTTCCATCTGTGATTGGTTGAATCCATGGGTGCAGAACCCACGGGTATGAAGAGCCAACTGTATAAGGTTTAGGAAAGTTATTCAAGGAATAAGCATAGGTTTTTTTATATGACCTTAAAATTTGTTTTAATCATCTTTCAGGATAAGTTAACTGCAATAGAATCCTAAATTAGTGCATGAGAATAATTTAAAATATTCAGAGCTAGATTGCCAAATATAAAGTTGTGATCCTGATTTTTGTTGTCAGCTCATTATGAACTGTAGGCAACTCATGTTCCTGGACTGGTCATGGGTTACTCTGCAGATGATTGCAGTAACACTAAACTCCCCCAAGTGCTGAAAGGCTTAATTAAGATCCATTAAGTCCTCAGAAATATAAGGGAGGAGGAGGTGATACTGAATCAAGTGGCTTATCTACCATATATGATATTTGTGTGTTATAATGTTCCCTTAGAAAAAAGTAGGGGAAAAAGGTAGAAGAATTTAGATTCTAAAGCTTAATTTATAAAATAGTAGTTACATGTTTCATAATACTGTTTTTTACAATTAGAAGAGAAGAAACTATACCTTGGGATACGGCAGCATTCTCCACTTTACTTGCTTTCTAATATTTATTTTGGAGTTTCTCATAGTGTATCTTTTATGTGCCATCTTAATTTTGTCAGAAATTATCTGTATTTGACAAATAAAAGGTAACTTATACCCTGTTTTCTAGAATAGATGGAAAATGTGTCTCGATAGTACCAAGTGGTTTAGAGATAGTAGATACATTTTAGATACGTATGGGAGTCCTTATTAGGGACTTCTAGACCGTTTCCTTTGTGTAGACGGTCAGTCAGAAACAGTGTGATGTTTTTAAAAGATTATGGTGGGAGTGTAAATTGGTGTAACCACTCTGAAGAGCGGTTTGACAGTATACGCCTTAGAGTAGTAATTGTCAAAGTGTCCCTGGGCATTACTTAAGAACTTGTCAGAAATGTGCATTTTTCAGGCCTCACCCAGGCCTACAGAGACAGAAACTCTGGGAGTTGGGCCCAGTACTACAGGTTTTAACGAGTCCTCCAGGTGATGCTAATGGTAGCTAAAGATGAGAATCCCTAGCCCAGAGAAGCTCTTGACTTGTACACTGAGAAACACACACAAGGAAGCTCATTTCACTGAAGGGTTTGTATGCAGTCACTCATTTGATCTTTCTAGCAACCTATGAGCTTGATTCTGTTATTTATCCCATTTTACTGATAAGGAATTATGCCCATAGCCACAAAAGAGATGAAGATGGGATTTGAACACATCTCTTAACTACAGTGCAGTCTTTTTTTTTTTTTTTTTTTTGAGACGGAGTTTCACTCATGTTACCCAGGCTGGAGTGCAATGGTGCGATCTCAGCTCACCGCAACCTCCGCCTCCTGGGTTCAGGCAATTCTCCTGCCTCAGCCTCCTGAGTAGCTGGGATTACAGGCACGCACCACCATGCGCAGCTAATGTTTTGTATTTTTAGTAGAGACGGGGTTTCACCATGTTGACCAGGATGGTCTAGATCTCTTGACCTCGTGATCCACCCGCCTCGGTCTCCCGAGAAGATCGGTATACAGGATTGAGCCACTGCGCCCGGCCCAGTGCAGCCTTTAAAAATCTCAGACGAGACTGGAGCTCTTAGTATTTTTTTTTTCTTTTCTTTTTGAGACAGGGTCTCACTGTGTCCTTTAGGTGGGACTGCAGTGTTGTGATCATGGCTCACTGCAGCCTCAACCACCTGGACTGAAACCGTCTTCCTACCTCAGCCTCCTGAGTACCTGGGAACCACACATGTGCATCCCTATGCCTGGCTAGGTTTTGGGGTTTCTTGTTTTTGTTTTCTAGAGATGGGGTCTCACTATGTTGCTCAGGCTGGTCTCTTGATCCCCCTGCTTTGGCCTCCCAAATTGCTGAGATTATAGGTATGAGCCACCAAACCTAAGTTACTGTTTGTATTTTAATGGATTTGCAGAAAGTCTCAAATGGCAGCTTCTGCTCTGTGTTGAGAAAAATTCTTCTTATCGAGCAAAGCAGTTGCTAGTATTCTAGACACTTCACGTTTATTATTGTAGTCAGTCTTTGTGACTGTTCTTTGATGCAAATCATTTGCCCAAACTCACATAGCTAGTAAGTATCTGAACGTGAGCCCTTATCTACCTCTAAAACCCATTCTTTTTCTACTGTAGCTAATTTTCTTTCATTTTTCCTTAGTCAAGTTCAAAATCAATGTAACTAGAAATCATGAAATAGAACATGAACTTCCTATGTTAGATATGGTTCAAGATTACAGATGAAGTCTAAATAAAGAGGTAAAATGCCTCTGTCAACTAAAAAATTAAGTGATGACAATGAGATTATAAAATTTAAAAATTAAGTTTGCAAAGGACTTTTACTCTTTTTCAAAACCTATGATGCGTTTCCTCATTTAAGAAGAGTATTTGGGTTTTTTTTTTTGGCATTTTGATCCTTTCCTGTGTCATGATTTCTTTGACTTTGGCATAAAACAAGGAGATTCTGGGATTACTATTAGAGGAACAATTTTGTGTCACCTGAACCCATATTCCAGGATCTTCAGTGGGAAGAGTTTGGGACAGTTCCAGTGCATGTGTAATACTGGAACAATACTTGAGCAATACTTCATGCTTGAGCAATACTTCATTTCTGAAATTTTTCTTTTCAATGTTCTGCTTCTTTCAGGTGAAAATTGTCACAATGAACGAGGATATAACTCTTAGATCAGCCCTTGACAGAAATCTAAAGAGTGCTGTGACCGCTGCTTTCCTCATGCTCCCGGAAAGCTTTTCTGAAGAAGACCTCTTCATAGAGATTGCCGGACTCTCCTATTCAGGTTAGTGTGGCTGCTGCCCAGATGTTCTGCAAGGAGATTTGTTGTCTGAAGGCTGCAGATATCCTGTTCTCACTCGGGACTGGAGCTGCTACAGTCTTAGTCGTAAATCGTATCACCTCATGCATGGTTCCTGCACTAACCTCCTGATTTGCCTCCCTGCCTCCCACATCCCTTCTCCACATTTCTGTGCTTATTGTCCCAGGGTACTTTTATTGTTAATTTTTATTTTGAAGTAATTTCAAATTTACAAAAAAAAAGTTTCAAGAATAATACAGAAAACTCTCTTACGCCCTTTTCCCAGATTTGACAGTTTTAACATTTCACCATATTTGTTTTCTCATTTCTCTATCAGTGGTTTTCAAACTTTAGCATGTGTCTGAAAAACCAGGAAGTCTCAGGTTAAAACACACACTCCTGGGCCCTACCCCAGACAACTGATTTAGCAGGATTGAGGTGGGGCCCATGAATTTGTATTTCTAGAAACAAGTTCCCAAGGGATGCTGATGCCCCTCCAGGGGTCCCAATTTGAGAACCATTGTTTTCTCCATATGTGTAAACAAACTATATTTTTTTCTAAACTGTTTGAGAGTAGTTCACACATATTATGTCCCTCTTAGGCCATGTACCGTACTTGAGTTTGTGTCTCCTAAGTATAAGGACATAGTCTTATATAACCATAGTACGTTCATCAAATTCAGGAAACTAAACACTGATACAATGCGTGTATCAAATTTATAATCCATATTTTAAATGTCAGGTGTCCCAAACTGAGGCAACTAGGAGGGTAGAGTCCCTGGCCCCTCACCCTTGCTGCAACCAGAGGAGCACCACATCTGTTTACTATAGTAAGGTTCCGTGTAAGATTTCATTTACGAAACAAGTGGTCTAGTTTTTTAAAGGTTTAAAAACCACCATCTTAAATAAATATCATCTTTCCCCATTTTTTAAGTATGAATCAAAGAACTTTATGCTCAGAGCATTGCAAAAGCAATGTTTACTTAGTCTCTGAATCCCAGTATAGACAGATAAGATTTCATGATAATTTAATGCCATAAGAGACCTTAGAGGTTTTATTCTTCCATCTTCTCAAAATTCATCTACTGTGACTGTATTTGCAACACTGGAGAGAAAGGCATGGAAGCAGCCTTGATCTCTGGGTGCTTCCAGCTTCACCTGGCAGCCTCCCTGCCTTCCAATAAAAGACATAGGGGAAAAGAGTGGCATGGCCTTGTGCCTGAATGAGCAGGCCACATGCACTGTGTGAGCAAAGGGAGTCACTTTATTAGAGTGATTCCCTCCCCATATTTCCCTGTGTAAAAAAGATGGAACAGAAGCCTTTTATGAAGGCTGACTTGGTGGGAGAAGATGCAGGACTGTTTTCTACTCGCCCCTACCACTACCAGTCCTCCATTTTTTCCCTTTGTAGTCAACATCATCGAAGCATTGGGTGGATTCTGGGAATTCCCTCTAAATCTGAACGTTGACTAAGGAAATTTACAAATGACCTGGCTGCTTTCACCTCTTTAAAGACTCTTAAGTTAGCCTTCAAGCTGCTACCAATCTTTAGCTGATTTTTGCTGGAACTAGACAAGACTAATGAGGGTAGAAAATGACATAGGTTCTGCAGGTAGATCTCTTTCATAGGTATGAGACCTACCCTAGGCAAAGTGTTGAAAGGCACATTTTCTTCCTTTATGCCAAATTTCATATTGTCCACTCATCTCATTTTTATTTATAACTTTGATATTGTCCATCTTTTTCTAGTTGAGAGATTTTATACACACACACACACACACACACACACACGTGTGTGTGTGTGTATGTGTGTGTATTATATATATGTACAGTCCCGAATCTGTGAAGTTCAACATTTCTCCTGGGATGGGGCAGGAGAAGGGACAGAGAAACCATATCTGTCCACGTTGTTAGACAAGCTTCTGCCAGTAATTGCTCAGGCAGAGGCGAGGTCTATTAGTATTACTTGTAGCAATAATAGTCCTTTACATTTTATATATTATTTAAGGACTACTTTGACTGCCCTGAGGTCAGTATTGTTATAAATGATGGGTGAGAAAAGAGTGGGTGAAGTATGAGAGGCTGCAAACTGGAAAGGAGAAAGCTTTGTGTTTATTTTTTATTATTTTTCCTCCACCCTTTCCTCTTTTTTTTCTTTTTTTTTAAGAAAGCTTTCTAACCCAGCCAGGTGTGGTGGCCCTGTAATCCCAGCAATTTGGGAGGCCAAGGCAGGCAGATCACTTTAGGTCAGGAGTTCAAGACCACCCTGGCTAACATGGCGAAACTCCATCTCTACTAAAAATATGAAAATTAGTCAGGTGTGGTGGTGCATGCCTGTAAGCCCAGCTACTTGCAAGGTGGAGGCGGAAGAATCACTTAAACCAGTGAGATGGAGGTTGCAGTGAGCTGAGATCATGCCAGTGCATTCCAGCTTGGGTGACACAGTGAGACTGTGTCTTGTGTCTAAAATACATAAATGTATATAAAGCTTGCTAACCCTTTAGTTTTTCTTAGAAGTCAGCATTTAAATGAACAGGAAAGGAGCACCAAATACATTTTAAAGGGTCACCTTGAACTTTGTTATGTAAGTATAAACTATTAAAATGGCTAATTTTAGGCAATGGTCCTGGTTTAATATTTATCAAGCAAATCAGCATCTTACACCCTAAAGAACTGCAGATGGAATTTCTTCTCAGTCACAGTGCAGTCACAGTGAGTCAGTGGTAGAGTTGAAAAACAACACATGTGAAAAAGGCAAGAAGGGTGTGAAAGAACATGGCGTGTTTAGCGAGGAAGCAGTAGATTGGTGTGACTGAAGTCTGTGGCTTAATGGCAGGGAAAATGGCATTTATTATTGGGTGCCAAGGACTACTCTCAGCACTTTAAATTTGATAACTAGTTTAATCCTCACAATAACCATTTGATTTAAATGCTGTGTCATTGCTGCATTTTACAGATGAGAAAACTGAGGCCCAGAGTGGTTCCCTGTCTAAGGTCACTCATTTGGTACATGGTGGACTAGTTTGAATACCAGCTTTCTAGAGGTATTTGAACCTTTCTTTTTTTGTTGTTTTATTTGATTTTTATTATTTTATTTCCTGAAATGCAAGCTTGAACCTTTCTGAACCCCCGGTTTTCTTATTTGTAAAACAGAAATAACTATCTCACAAAGAAATATTCAGTGAGATAATATATGTAATAGCTTCCAAAACTCTTTCTTTTTTTTTTTTTTTTTTTTTTTTGAGACAAGGTCTCATTCTGTTGCCCAGGCTAGAGTGCAGTGGTGAGATCACCACTCACTGCAGCCTCGACCTCTGGGGCCCAAGCAACCCTCCCACCTCAGACTCCCAAGTAGCTGGGACACCAGGTGCAAACCACCACACCTGGCTAATTTTGTTTATTTTGTGTAGAGACAAGGTCTCGCTATGTGCCTTGGGTGGTCTTGAACTCCTGACCTCAAACGATCCTCCCGCCTTGGGCTTCCAAAGTGCTAGGATTACAGGTGTGGGCCACTGCACGTGGCTGCCTCTAGCATCTTATCTCATTGATTGTCAGTGCTCAGAAAACGATTGCTGTTATTATTATTTTTATGTATTATTGTTGGTCACATAGGTTTTCCTCAGGTTGAGACACTTATTTGCTCAGTCATTCAGTGATTGATGGACACTTAGGCTAGCTGCATTTATCATTGTTTTAACAACATTGCTGTGAATCACTTTGTACAGATTACTTTGATTGGGGAAGGGGCAAAGGAGGCACTGACTTCTTTGGATGTGTTCTCCAGAGTGGAATTATGTTGTCACCTGTAAGAATTATAAAACTTGTTACACATTGACAAATAATACCTGTCAAAATTGCTGGGTGCTGTGGCTCACACCGGTAATCCAGCTTCCAGGCTGCAGTGAATTATGATCATGCCACTGCACTCCAGCTTGGGCAGTAGAGCCAGACCCTGTTTCTTAAATTAAAAAAAGAAAAAACATTAGCTGAGTATTTAGATAGATGGATTGAAACATGACAACCCCATTTCATCTGGCCAGTTAAGGACCTCAAGGTATGAAAAACACCTTCAGGCACTTTCCTATGAGAGACAGAATGGGTTTCTTTCATTGTGAGATTGTCTGAACACAGCCTCAGCTACTTCTAGGAATAAGACAAAGCAGTGAGGAAGTTGCCAGTTGAGTGATTCTTGAGGAAAGAAAGTAGTGATGAGTGCCAGCTCTCTAAAGTGTAAGGAAACATCCCCATTTCTGGGTTCTGGTAGAAGCCAGTAAAGAAGCATTTTCTCTGGAGTGGAAGCTAGTAAGATTTATTCCGTGGTGATGAAGCCATCTGAAAGTTGTTTTCATTTTGAGGATACTGATGCCCAGGCAAGCCACTTAACTTCTCTGGCCATCAGTATCCTCAAAATGAAAAAATGGGAGCAATAATAACTAGTTAAGTGGGTCACATAGCTTACAAGTGCCCAGCCAGCATTTGAACCCAGGTAGTCTTCATCCTGGAATGCTTCCTCTTAACCCTTTACTGTTCTACAAAAGGTCCGTGGTGGTGGACGTCACTCCTGGTTCACGCTTGGGTCACTCCTCCTCCAGGACCCACTGGGTCATACCTTCCCCTCCTCCCACCAGTAGGCCTTAGTTCTGGCTTATCATGGAGGCCTTTTCTGACCCCCGCTGTGACTCCATCACTCCCTGTGTCTTTCCCTGGTTTTGTTTTTCCCATAGCACTTTCCACAGTCTGCCACACTGTATCTTATTGTTGGTTGGTTGATCTTTGGTCTTTGTTCCACCACTGAGGATGTGGAGGGAAGGAATTTTTGTCTTGTTTTGCTCCTTCTCTTTGCATGCTTCCAGTAGTACCTGACCTGTACTAGGTGCTCAGTAAATATTTCATGAATGGATTATACTGCTTTGTTCCTGAACCAATATAGTGAACCTGAGTCCTCCCTATTGCTCCCTACTTTTGTGTTATCTAAAGTTGAGAAA